CCTCCCAGGATCATGGCAATTCTGAAGCTTGCAATAGGAAATGGACGCAGGCCCACACTTGCCTACACCATCAGACCATGCAGACCCCTGCTCCTAACCAATAGTCTGTGTGAGTCCAGAAAGGTCCTTAGTGTGGAGGAAGCCCACTGCTCCCCCCTCACAGGCCTTCTCCTCTCCTCAATGCTTCCTTAGGGGAGGAGGCAGTGGGACTGCTCTAATGGCTCAACTTTGTATAAATTAAGGGACATACTAGGGTCAACCCCTTCCCTTCTAGGAGTGAGCAGTTCTTCCAAGGGTGGCCTCCACACCAGGTGACCCTTCAAGGAAACTTGTCCCAGCCTACAATGAGTTAGAGAAGGCTCTCTCCTTAGGATCACCAACACTAAAGACTTCCTGATCTCTGCCTTTCTCATGAACAGTCACAAAGATGCCGTATCCAGCTCTCGCTGCCAGTGCCTTTTGATTCATTCATTTGTTGGGGGGGAGATTTTATCTAATGGAAACCTCTCCCATTAAAAAATCCAAAAGTAATACATGCCTCAATGGACTATTATGAAGAACAAATGAGAAAACGTGATGCACTTAATAGGATGCCCAGAAAAGAAGCGAGAGAAAGAAAGAGAAGAGGAGGAAGAGGAAAAGGAAGGGGGAGGAAGAGGAAAAGGAAGGGGGAGGAAGAGGAAAAGGAAGGGGGAGGAAGAGGAAAAGGAAGGGGGGGGGAGGAGGCAAAGAAGAGAGAGAGAGGAAGAGAGGAGAGGAAGAGGAAAAGGAAGAGGGAGGGAGGGGAGGAGGAAAAGGAAGAGGGAGGGAGGGGAGGAGGAAAAGGAAGAGGGGAGGTAGAGGGGAGAATGCCTACGCGGAGATGTATGTTGGTTGACTAACAGAAGTCAACACTACTCAGTACACATTGAATGTCCCTGGTTACACCTTGCCTGACACCAGAGGACAGGCATCTGTGCAAACATTCATCTCATCTCCTCTTCCTAGAAGATAACGATCACAGCATTACCCTGTGGTTTAATGACTGATTGTGGTGGCAGATGTTATAAGGACACAACCGGTGTGCCAAGCCAGGCCATCAGATTCCAGAACCGTCCCTCCAAAGTGGCCTCAGTGTACCTGCTTAAGTGTAAACAGTCAGTACTCAGAAAATGCCTGCTAATTCACACAGGGGCAGAATAACTCTGGAAGTAAGACTCTCTGGCCAGCAATATGTGGAAACAAGATGACTCTACAGCCAGAGGCTCTAAAGCCCAGGAAGAACATGAGCCAGCCAGGGAGAGTGGGAGAGGCAAAATGAAAACAAGTAAGAACTGTGGAGCCCAGGCCTCCACTCCACACCAGAGCCATCCTCCCACACCACCACAGCGCGAAGCTTCCCTGGCACTGAAGAACACATGACAACCCTGGATTAAACTAGAGGTAATCTGACTGGCTCAGAATGGAGAGGACTCTGATGGGCCACAGCATGCAAAGGTGCTAAAGGACAAAGGCTGTGGAAAGGATTTGAACTCAGGGACAGACATGACACATTCATGTGCTCAGCAGACTGCACTGACTCACTCGATGCATAAATGTGGGTAAATAAGCACCTCGGAGTGTTTTCCTCATCTGTGAAATGGGGCTTATCCCTTCCCAGACCTTGGACGATTACCCAGAACACTTAGAACAGTGCTATACACAACATGGGTCCACATCAAACAATTACTGACTTCCCGCACTGCGCTGTCAGCAGCAGTGATGCTTCCACTAAGCGACCATTCCTGGAGTGTCTCTGCATACCAGGGAACACAGAGGTCCCTGCCTTTGTGAAAGTAATCTTCATTGGAGATGCCAGACAATAGACAAGGAAGAAAATCCAAGAATCTCTGGCAATGATAAATGCTGTTCAAGAGAAAAGCATGGCCCAGGGGCCAGTCAAAGGAAAACACTCAGCATGAACACATGACTAACAAGAGTGGGACAGTGTGAGATGATGGGGAACAGGGCCTTTACAGAAGGGGCCACGCTGTCCCCTCCACAGGACCGGGTGGACATGTTGTACTACAGAAACAAATTCTGTGCAAAGAATAAAGACCTGAATACAGCTATGGAGGAGAAGGACTGGCCCCAGAAAGACACAGAGTTAGCTAGAAGGCCACAGTAACCAGACGTGTGACTTCAGGATAGAGGGAGGGCAGCAGACAGGTCAGAGGGAGTGGTGGAGGGACAGGAGGACACAGGGAAGAAGGGAGGGAGAGAACGGAAGGACAGTAGGAGGGAGGAAATGTGTCAGTGGGAGATTCTAGAGAGCCCTGCCTGAAGAAGACCTCAGTGAGAAGCAAAAGTGACGTCACAGGTCATTGTAGAAGGACAGATTACAGAGAAACAGCTCGAAGAAAATCTTCTCTTTTTATAAAGACAAAAATAAAAGAGGCTTTTTCACCCCAACAGCCTCAGACAAGTAAATACATAAACAGGAGAGTGAAGACCATATGTAAACAGAAAAAAGCATCAGAATATTGAAACATAAAATCAAGAAAGAGTTTAGTAAGAGCTTAAAATGAAAGATGTACACCAAACAAGACTGATTACACAAAATTAAGGATTATTATTCAAGAGAGGCACAATAAACAAAGTTCTTAGACAATGACAGAATTAGAGGAGGAATTCTGCAAAGTCTAAAGGCAACAAGAGACTAATATCCACTGGAAATTAAATCCCCCTTGGAACAAAATGACACGATGGCCCAGCAGACGAAGCAGCTGGCTGTCAAGACTGACCCCCTGGACACCTGAACCCCTGGACCCATGTAGTGGAAGGAGACAGTGGACTCCCAAAAGTTTTTCTCTGACCTCCATACCTACACTATGGCATTCTCTCTCAGCCAGGGCCAATGTAGTTATTATTCATGCCTAGTGACTAGAGTCTGGTCAAAATTACCCAAAAATGTATAGAAGTAGAGCAAAGATTCAATGGGAAACTAGGCAACAGTCTCTTGTTGCCTTTAGACTTTGCAGAATTCCTCCTCTAATTCTGTCATTGCCTAAGAACTTTGTTTATTGTGCCTCTCTTGAATAATCCTTAATTTTGTGTAATGATGGATCCTATGTTTGGAAATGAGAATCTTAAAGGAGCTGAAACCTGTTTTTTTAAGTGAATGAAAATTCTACAATGTAAAATAAATAACTAAAATTAAGAAGTTATTTGACAAGTTTAATAGCATATTATTAAACATGACAAAAGAGAAGAAACATGAACTGAAAATAGATCAAAAGAAAATACCCAGATAGGAGTAGAGCTGGTGGTATGCTCCTACAGTCCCAGGACCCTGGGGCCCAGCAGTGTGAAGCTAGTCTGAAAAGTAAGACCTCACCCTAAACAGGAAACAATCTCCAGATTGAAATACAGAGAGAGAATGACAGAAAAAAAATAAGGAAAGAATATTAAAAAGTCACACCACACAACCATGGTGAAAAAACTCTATGTGTAAGCAGAGTCCCAGACCAGAAAAAGAAAGAAAAAGAGTGAAACAAAACCAGTATTTAGAGTTAAAGGATGATGATTTTTCAAAACTGATGAAAAGTATCAATCCTTAATTTCAGAAAGGTTGATCTACCCCAGGAAGAATCACCAGTGAAAACCCCTCTGGGGTGTTGCATCCAAACTGCTGGAAGCCAAGAAAAGAAAAATGTCCTAAAAGGAGCTGAGGTCGGGGGAGCAGCAGAGGTGTTTAAAAGATGTGTTACTCTCAGAAGAGCACTGAAACCGTCAAACTGTGGACTGACTTGCCACCAGCCAGGAAGAAAGCCCATGACGATGGAAGGACATGTGCAAAGATACCACAAAAGAAGAAAGTCGAAAGTAAAATGTTAAAGATCCATAACAGTAAACTAGGAAACAATCACAAGGTAAACCAAAAGAAAGTAGAACAAATGAAATAATTAAAAGGGCCCTAATTAATGAAAAAATACACATAAAGCCAAAAGGCTTCCTAGAAATGATAAATGAGGCATGAATGCACACACACACTCAAGTGCACTAGGGGGTAATGACAGATCACTAATATATTAATTACAACTAATTAATAGTTTCATGAATGAAGCAGAGACATCACTGTGGATCTTACAAACTTGACAGTGAAAAAACATATTTAACTTATAATTTATATCCATAATCTAAATACAGATATAATTGTCAAAGTCCTTGAAAAATATAACTTGGCCAAACTTACAAAAATAGAAATTTCTAGTTAAAAGTGTTTTGACTGAATATATAATTTAAAACCCTTCAGAAGTCCTTCCCACTAAATTCTACTGTGTACTGAAGGAGACACAGCGTAAATCTTGCGCTCTCCAAGAGAAGAGAAGGAGGCCAGCATCCAGTGAGGGAGCAGCAACAGGAAAACCCCACCAGCCAGTCTCCTCCATGAATCTAAATCAGATATTAATGAGTTAAACCCAGTCATATCATAGCCAAGAGGCTCATTCCAGGTGAAGGACTAGCTGAGCATTCAAAAAATCAATTACCTCAGAAATCCCCTGTGGCTATTAGGAAAGAATGGAGGTTAAAAAAAAAAAAAAAAACAGGGTCAAAGAAATAAAACGTCACCCTCAAGAAGCTCTGGGGACTGATTTTTCATTAAATGCAGGGACCTCCTCTTAGCTACACCAGCCAGGTGTGCTGCTCCAGGTGTGCTGCCCCAGGTGTGCTGCTCATGGTGTGCTGCTCCAGGTGGTAGGCTTGGGGACCTCAACTAAAGCCTTCTACAGCTCAGACAATGGGAAGGGCAAAGAAGGCCTCCCCCAGAACATCAGAAGGCTTGACCTCTGGCTCCATTTGTTTTCCTGGTTAATTTTTTTTCCTGGTTAATCACAACCCTCTGGCCTTGCCTGCCTCCCAGGCTAGCAGTGAGAGCACCAGAGACCAAGAGAGCCCCATGAAAGCCACAAGAGGCTGGACCATGCGTACCAGGTGGTGCTTGGTTTGGGAAAGCCGGCACCTTGGGTCTGCATACTCACCTGAGAGATGGGGGCTGGCTGCCCTGCCGCTTAAACGCTCTTTCCGGCCTCTCCTGAGTCACCCTGGAATTCCCACCGGGCAAGTACAGCTTCAAAGATGTTGTGCTGGTTTCTGTGTGGCTGGACCCCAGAAGGCCATCCTCGGAAACCCTTCTTAGCCTGGCCCTGTCCCGCTGGGACGGCCCTTGGCTGCTGGGAGAGGCATTTGGCTTCTCCATAGGCAGTTCATTCAGCTGGCCCAGAGGGCTCCTGGAGACGGAGTCACTGCTGGAACTGGGGACCTCCTGTGGACCTGGACAGGCTGGGGTTTGGACAAGAGACTCAGAGGGCTGCTGACATTCCTCTGGGGCTTGGAGCTTCCTGCTCAAGGATGAGGACCGTCTCAGAGAGCGTTTGCGGAAAGAGTCCTGGAAGGGTAAGAAAGGAGACAGTGAGCTGGAGGGGGGGGGTGCTCATCTAGGGGAGCTGGGAAAACACTTTATTCCTTGTGATGCCCCCCAGGAAGGGCTGTTCATACCCCAACTCCTTCCTTTTTTTTTCCTTTATTGAAAATGAACTTTTTCATATAATATATTCTGATTACAGCCTTCCCTCACTCTACCTACCCTGTTCCTCCTACCTTCCCTCCTATCTGGGTCCACACCCTTTCTGTCTCTCCTTAGAAAACACAAGCACAAAGGAATAATAACAAAATAAAATGAAACGATAAAACAAAACCAACAAATTGGGACAGGACAAAACAACCAAACAAGAGCCAAAGAAGAAGCACAACAAATGCACACAGATGCAGAGATGTACGCTCATACACACGGAATCCCACACAACACACAATAATATATATGGAAAGGACCTGTAAGGTTAAAAAAGAAAAAGAAAATGCCCTGACTTAACCTGAAACAAAGATGCCACTGAGTTTGTTTTGTGTTGGCCTTCTACTGCGGGGGCATGCGGCCTACCTTTAAGAGTGGTTTGTTTCCCCAGTGAGATTCCCTTAAAGAAAAATAATTTTCATCAGGGCTAGGTTTAGGAGATAGGGCATGTGTCCACTTCTTCTTTCAGCTCCAGGGTATAGACCCATCTGGTATAGACCCATGCAGGCCCAGTGCACGCTGCCTCAGTCTCCATGAGTGAGAATGTGCACCAGCCCCGTTGTGTTCAGAAGGTCTTGATTCCTTGGTTTCCTTCATCCCTTCTGGTTCTTACTCTTTCTGCCTCCTCTTTCGTCGGGTTCCCTGAGGCCTAGGGGGACCAACTCCTTCCTACTCACTGATGTACCTTCCTACATAGATCCCAGAGGACCCGAGGTGGCAGGAAACCTATCACTTGAGTTTTTCCTTACGGTATCCTCACCTACAACTGTCATCTGTGGAAGCTATTCTACTTCTCTATCCCTCACATCCTCACCAGTGACACACGCTGTCCCCAATCCAGCTTGGCATTTTTAATGAGGATTCTTCAGTAATCCTGTGGTGAGTTGTTTCATCTGTTAGGATGGGGCTGCTGAGTTTTTAAGAGGTTAATATCCTCATGCTTAGCTATGAAGATACTTGGTTTTGCTCATGGAGCTATGTGCTTTGTGACAAATACACTATGATAACTTTCAGAAATATAATCAAACATTCTAAATCCAAAATACCTTTGGTCTCCAGGTTTGGGGTGAGGGAGGAGGGGCTTGTCGCCCTCCTCTTCTAACCATGCATAGGACAGGATACTGTCCTAGTGCACAGCAGGCCACTCTCACTCCCTGTCTCTCCTGCTGGTAGATCAGGATGGCCAAAGCCATTCTTCAATCACCCCTGGTGTCCATGGAGACCCCAGCTCAGCCTTAGCACTCAAGATTTGTCTATTTGGAAAAAAAGGGATCTAATAGAGTCAGGTGGACTACCCACCTCCTATTGGTGATTTGCTGAAGAAATGGGACCCTCTGCTAGTAAGCATTGGGGCAATGGATGGAGAAGTGCTGCAGAGACATGAAATACACCTGGGGGCTTTGCCTTGGTTCAGACTTCAGGATCCTTAAGCATTTCCAGAAACAACTCAGGGGCCAGTGGTAACCTGGGCTGGAATAAGGAGAGCTAATTTTGTAGTTTTCTGACCACGTGGAAATGACCAGGTTCTATAAATCTTCTCCAAAGCTGCCTATAGGTTCTATAAATCTTCTCCCAAGCTGCCCAGGGCATAGCTGAATAGAGCAGTGAAGACATTAGTCACCATTCCCAAGGAGACACACGAGGCCTCTTACCTCATCCACAACTTACTAATAAAAATTGCCAAATACCCAGCAGGTCTTGAATCCTTTCTCTCAAGCAACCAGCACACGTGGCCAAAATGCCAAACCCTACCAGAAAACCACAGCAACCACTATTCAAGGCGCTTCACAGAATTCATGTATCACAAAGGAACCCTCACTTCCCCCAAACAACTAGCAAAGAGCGCTGCAGCAACGCCCCTAGGAAGAGGCGGATCCCATCACATCCTTCTCATCAAGTCTCACCTGCACACTAAAGGAGTGAAGCATCTTGGTGGGAGACAGGACCCCGGCACCCCACTGAACCACTGGTTCTCAAAGTCTAGGGGTCCCCAGACCCTTTCAGGAGTTCAAACCAAATCTTAAAGTAACTAGATATTAGTTATGACTTGAGGGTGTCCTCCAAGGTGCACACGCTGTGAGGCTGGTGGCGTTTAGGTGACGGAGGCTGGAAATGGTGGGCCCAGCAGAAGGCAGCTGGATCCGAGGCACCGCTCTTTGAAGGGATCAATACTGACCTCACGGGACCAGATAAATTCCTAAAAGAATGGTTCGTTGCAAAAGAACCCGGCACCTCCCCCTGATTCCCTGTTTCATACACACAGCCTGCCTCTCCCACAAGTACTCCTGCCATGATGGCGTCTGCCATGCCATAATGTAGACAAAAGGTCTTCACGGGAGTCCGAGCAGACAGGAATCTTAAGACTCTGAGACTCCAACACTATGACTTAATCACCCTGTTTATGGGATAGTCATCCTCAGACACCTTGCTAGAGTGGCAGGCAACTAACTGACAGAGACAGTGGAAATGTGACCCAATTCACCTTTACGAAGTGTGACCTGCGTATGCACAGCAACACTAGGAAAAACTGGCTTTGTACACAAATCTAAACTTTAAGGAGCAACTATAGTACTGACTTGACTTAAGAACAGGCCCACGGAAGCTTTTATTACTAAGCATTATTAACCCCATTCAGCCTAGAGTGCACAGCACACATCTCTTCAGTATCCCATGCAACCAAACGGGAGGTACATACGCCCACTCCCCCAGGGAAGGATAGTGGCTACAGCTTGTGTAACCATCTAACTGTGAATGAAGTGAACTTGCTGTTATTTTCAGGGAATGGCAGACAGAACATGGTGATTCAGACTTGGAATTTGGCAGGCATTTCTTGAAAATAAACTGAGCCTGTCACACCAAGGGAAACAAATGCTGTACTGTTTTCAGCAATAAAATACAAGCTGCAGAGTAAGAACCAAAACTTTCGGGAATCCTACATACATCAACCATCAAGAACTTTGGGGGGGGGGTGTTGGAGGGACTTAAAATTCCTGAAATCTTTGGTGGTCACATCAACAAATGTGCTGTTTTTTATTTATTTTCTTCCATATAATGAACTGTGTGTCCCCATTTAAAAGATCTATATAACTCAGTAACCAATATATTTCAAATGACTGGTGCATCATGCTACTTAACACACAGGAATAAAAGATTCAACATGCATGCCAGACCTATGGGAACTGATAAAGTACAAAAAGCACATTTCCGTGGTTGAAGGTTCCACATTAAGGCAGGGGGTGTAGCTTGGTTTGACAGTGTACATGCCCAGCAAATGTGAAGTCCTGGGTTTGAGCCCCAGGGCCACATGTACCAGATGTGACACCCAGCAGTTGGGAAACAGAAGCAGGAAGGTCAGAAGCTAAAGATTATCCTCAGCTAGATAGCAAGTCTGTGGCCAGCCTGGGCTACATGAGGCCAGAAGAGGGGGGTCAGATCCCCTGGAACTGGAGTTACAGGCGGTTAACCTTGAGCAACCCAAGATGGGGGGTGCTGGAAATTGAACTCAGGTCCTCTGGAGGAACACCAAGTACACTTAAGCACAGAGCTATCTCTCCAGACCCAAGTTTTAATTTTCAGAATAGCAAATATCAAAGGATACAGTCCCATAAACAGAGTCTATAGGGATCCTCAATGTTAAATGCACAAGGAGATCCTGAGACTAAAAGGTCTGAAGGCCACTGCTGAAATCTATACTGTCAACTAGATAGGCCCCCTCTGACATGTCTTCAGCAGGAAAAATAACATCCTGTCCCCACTGAGGCCGTCCTAACAATACAATTCTCATGCTAACTTCCAATCAGGGGTACAGTAGTGCTTCCCAGAGCCCTCGGGAGACTCTGCACCACTCCACCCTGCAAAAGTCCATGAGCAAATACCATGTGCCACACACAAATGTGACAGCCCTCAGGAGCCTCAGACTAAACCTAAGATAGCTAATAGAGTCCCTCTCATGATGCCATCATATCACTCCACTGGTGGTAACCATTCAAGGTACCCAGAGAGATCTGACAGGAGAGAGAGAGAGAGAGAGAGAGAGAGAGAGAGAGAGAGAGCAAGGTCTGACTAGTGATGCCTGCCAGAGCAAGGCATTCATTACAAGATGGCACCAATGTCTAAAAGACATATATTTGCCACTCAGGGATGAGACAGGCTATTCCTCCTTCCACATTACAAGAAATCTCTTACATTCTGCCAATAAGAATTATCCTTTCAAGATTCAACACCTCCAAAGACTAAGTTTTCTCCTGACTTCTCTCCAACCTTGCTAGCCACTTTCCTCTGAACATGGTCCAGTTTATGAATTTCCTTCTTTGACAGAAAATTTGCCTTAAGTGGGACGCAGCACCAAGGTATAGCATGGACCACACAGAGGGGAGCAGACTCTCACTCCTTCATCAACACACCAAGATAAGAATACAGAAATGCAGAGATTCCCCGGTGATTTCAGATAGCCGTCCAACAAGAACCTCAGCCAAGAGAAATGAAAACCTTGATCAAAGGTCCCATGGGCGTGGCTGAGGCAGGGAGAGGGTTGTGTCCTAACCCCACAAGAGTGGAAAGACTAATGCCAGCATCAACACATTTATCTGACATGGACACACAGCTAAGAGAGAAGGGGGTGGCATTCCACAGACAACCAGTGTTGGTCTACCTGGCCCCTTATGTTACTGATACTAGGTGTGATGCTGCTATTTTCCCATTTATTGTTTAGAAAACTTCTTCCACACTATTCTCTTACTTACTTGGTGTACCCTTCCACCTAATCATGATCCCTCCTTAAAGGAAACCACCAAGCAATCAATGAAATTTTTACAATTTTTCTGAAAGAAAGAAAAATGAAAGTAAATGATAGCTTTAGGACCAGGGTTTCTACTCCCCTTTAACCATGGTGGTAAGCAATGATATCGCCTAGTCTAGGGGAGTTATCCTACTCTAGAACTGCAAAGACAAAGCCAGGAACATGCGTCTTCACTCGCAGTTAGGGGAGATGAAATCAAAGAATCCATTTCACTAACTCAGGTAGAGGGCAGGGAGGTGGCAAAGCCTACTGGGGATCCACAGGGTCATTGAAAGTAGAGCCAAGGAGAAACAGACAGGCATTCTTCCTGTCCCCACATGCATCCCTTTCCCAGCCAGCAGTGCCTGAAGCCATATCTCACTCTCTAGTCTACAGAAAACAGAAAGAAGGGCAGTCCCACCTGTGGGGAGCTGGCGACGGGCCCAGCCATCATGCCTCGGACAATCAGGCCAGACTTTGGCCTGGTCCTCTCCACTGGCCTCTTCACATCTATGCATGGCTCTGATGAATGAAGCTGCTCCACCTTCTCCCATGCAGGAACCAAAGGGAGACTGTCACCAGCGACTGTGTGTACAGGCTTACTTTTGTATGGGCTTTTTTTGGGTGATATGAAATTACCAAGTGTGTCCCCATCAAAATTGTCATGCCTGCAAAAACATAATATTTCCATTAAGATGGAGCCTCCAAGTGGATGATAATAATAAACCCCACAATTAGTCATCATTCATGAATATATAACTGGAAATGAGCCAAGGCTCTGCCAGCAAGGTAAGGAATAGGAAGCACTTCTTTGGTGTCAGGGCAGGTGCAGCAGGGTACAGGAAAAGTCAGAGACGATGATCCACAAAGGGATCCTAAGTCCTAATGGCTGAAGACTGAAGAGCAGCTTGGCTCCTGCAGACTCAAATGATAAAGGAAGAAAACTGCAGTGCAGTGCTGAGCATGTGGAACTCGGCCTTTCTGTACATGGAGAGCAGCACACCTGGGGCCAACATTTCCAGGTGTTCAGGAAAGCTGCATAGGTGTGTAGATGTGTATTTGTGTGCTTGCAAGGCAGGAGGGGAGGGAAAGGATGCAAACGACAAAAGTGGGAAACTAAAAAGGAGCAAGAAGTGCCCTCTTTTGTGGTGCCTCCTAGGTGTCAGCAACGTTGAGATGAAACTGAGTATCACCTTCCCAACCACTGGCGGTCAGAAACTCACTCAAGTGGATGCTGAACACACACTTGGTGCTTTCTATGAGAAGCACAGGGCCACACACACTTCGGCTAAGTACCAGGTAAAGAGTGGAAGGGTTATGTCGTCCAAATTAGTGGAAATGACAAACAAGGTTTTCCCACGAAGCAAGGTATCTTGACCCAAGGCAGAATGCATCTGCGGTGGAGAAGGGCATTCTTGTTATAGACCAAGACCTGGAGAGAGGAAGCTCAGGTCTGTTTAGGGATGCATGCTGATGCCAATCTGAGTGTTCTCAAATGAGAGGAGGAGGAGGAGGAGGAGGAGGAGGAGGAGGAGGAGGAGGAGGAAAGAGGAGACGGAGGAAGAAGAGGAAGAGGAAAAAAGAGAAAGGAGGAGGGAGATGAAAAAGAAGAGGAAGAGGAGAAAGAAGAAGAGGAAGGAGAGGAGGAAGAGGAGGAAGTCGATTCCTAGACTGACAGATTCTACTGTGTGCCTCAGCAGTTGGGGCCCCCAAGAGCTATCAGATTCCTAAAACCATTCAATCTCTCTAAAGAAGACCATGTCCTACAATATGTTGTCAGAAAGCCCTTAAACAAAGTAGGACGTCCAGCACCAAAGCACCCAAGATTCAGCACTCCACATGTCCTGCAACACAGATGCCAACACTTTGCTCTGAGGAAACAACACACTAAGACAAATGAGGAGACTATAAAATATGCTAAACTTGTGGCCAAGGAAGTGAAGGCAGCCAGTGAAAAAGGCCAGGAACAGATTGCCAAGAGATGTAGGTTGTCCTCATGGAGTGCTTCTACTTTGAAGTCTGAGACCAGTCAAAAACAAGTCTTTAAGAGTAACAAAGAAATGACCAGACTTTGAATCTCAAAAGAAAAATAAATCAAGAAGGATAAAGGACAGGATGGAGGTAAAAGGGAGCTTTGCCTGGGCTTCTCAGAGATCTGCACTCTGCTGACCCCAGATTTCTTCCCCTGGTCCCTGGTACACATGGTACCGACAGCTACACTATGCCATACCTCCCAGCAAGCCTTGGGTCACACATGAAAGCAGCAGTTGCTTGTGCCCTTGTTGGGGAATGCCAGGCAGAAGATAAGGCCAAGGAAGGGCAGAGGGATCTGGAGAGACTACTTGGGGAGTTCCTAAAACACAACACACAGGCCTGGGAGGGAACTAGCTCAGTGAACAGTGGGGGCTGGGCTGGGACAGACTTACAAAGTTATCCAAAGGTACTTGGGGTTTCTCCTAAACGCTCCAGGAAGTGCCTCTTGACCTTCAAGGAAGGAGTGACCTTCCCAGTGTGGACTGAGGAAAGCTCACACTGTCCAGGCCAGGGCAGAATCTGTGGATGTGCTGACCTCCTCATGGAGCCCAGGACAGCACTCACAAGAGTTACACATGGAAAAAAAGATGAGCATGTGAACAGAAGCCTTTGTCATCAGGTCTGGAAGGGCAGAAGCATTTAGCATGCTAGGAACCAAGATCTGACAGGATGGAGAGAGGCGGGGGAGGGCAAGGAAGCATAAATGACACCAAGGTGAATCAGGTTTGAGAAAATGGCAGGATTAAGACCTGGAGGCTTCAATTACCTCATTGTGATTTGGTCATTGTCTCAGAAATAATGACTTTCCCAACCAGGCAGCAAATGCCCTTGCAAAAGGAGCCACCTTTATGCCACCCTCCTGACTTTCATGTTTAAAGCCTCAGGTTACTTTTTTATAGTGGCCTCACCCCTTCTTAGCTTGACATTCATGCACTGAGCTTTTCCAGCCATCAGAAATAAAAGCTTTTCCGTCAGTGGAAGAAAAGACCCATTCCCCAGAAGCTAACCCACTATTGGTGACTTCATACAGTATGTGATCATGTAAGTTATACACACCATTGGAGACCACATGTACTATATGATCACTGCAAATCGGGAGAACTGTTCTCCAAAGACGGGAGGTTCAGTTATGAATACTATATACCTGTTTCAAAGAAAATCAAAGCAAGTCCCTGAACCTTGGGAATCACGGGATATAAAGTCAACCTCCTGAATCATAAGTAAACACCTTCACAAAACGGTCCTCTCTCATGGCCTTTTGGAGAAACTAGCATGGCGCTGTGACAGAGAATTAGAAACATATGGTATGGTAAACTGAACAGTGACACTCAAAGATATGCATGTCCAGATCCCTCGAAGTTCTAACTGTGAGATCTGTGTCAGTTAATCCTCATTGTCAACACGACTGGGAGACTGGTGAGGCACACCTCTGGGTGCATCTATGAGAGCATTTCCAGAAAGGTTTAACTGAATAGGAAAAGACCTACCCTGATTCGGGCAGGACCATCCCATGGGCTGAGGAGAACAAAAGGGGCCAAAATGAATACACGGACGCTGAATCTAAGAGAAGGCTGGGTGTTTCTGTGAAGGTGGTTTGTAAGAATGGCTGCCTTTTAGGCCCAGCTGACTTTAAGGAAGGTGGATATGGTTCTGTTTCCCAGAAAACACTCACTGGCATCAATCAACAAGTCACTGTGATTTGTTACAGCAGCAATACAAGCTGCTGGGCAGAGTGAAGAGGAGGAGGAAGAGGCAGCTACCTGGCTTTGCCTGCTTCTGACCATGAGGTTCGTCTTCCTGTGTCTTCATCTGAAAGATCGTATATATTCACCAATGTGGTCTCCAAGCAGCTTGAAGGCAATTTATTATTTGTCTTTGGAACTGGGAGTGCAGGGATCAGGGTTTCTTGACTTAAGTCGTCTGTGTTCCCAGAATGGTCCAGAAAATATCTGGTAATGAGCTCAAGGTTTGTTTTTAGAGGCTTTTCCTTTGCCTATCATTGGGAAGGAAAAAAAATACATTAATTGAATGTACAGCATTAGGAGAAGGGTGAAAAGATGACCATCCCAGTTCTTTGACGTAAGGGTACCAGCTTTTCCATCACACTACACACATCCAGCAAACACACATTTACTTATTCTTGTGTACCAGGCACTGTACTGGGTAGGGATTCAGAGACAAAGACACAATTTCTACTCTGAAAGAACTAACATCCTGTGATGTGAACAGAGAGCTAGCCAAAGCTAATCTCCTTTTGCATTCTTGCCCTAGGGAAACAACTAGAAGAGAGATATCCTTTAATTTAGAAAATAGTTTGAATTTAATTTTGCATTACACTTCATTATAAGGGGGGAATGCCACTGCAAGTGTGTGAAAATCAGAAGACCACTTAATCAATTCTCTCCTTCTACCATCTGCCTGGCCTCTGTAGAGCCAAGAAACAGTTGAGGCCTTAATATTTATTGCTGGGTGTTATTACTTAAACCTGGATGTCCCCCCAAAGTCTCATGTTTTGGGTACCTGGTTACCAGCTTGTGGCACTATTTTGAAGTTTGTAGAGTCTTTAGAAGTTGGGGCCTGGCTGGCAGAAATAGATGAAAAGGGGCAGGATTTTGAAGGTCTTGAAGGTCACACCTGCCCCTGATTCCAGCCTCACGTTCTTTGTTTCTGGTCTACAACATGTTATAAGCCAACTCACTCTCTAGCCACCGAATCTTCTCCATCGTGATGGGCCAAAATATCTAAAATCGTGATTCCCAAGGAAACTTTTCATCCTTTACATCATTTCTGTGAGGTATTTTGTCATAGCAAAGGCAAAGATAAATAACACAGTGGATGACCCTTCTTTAGCATTGACCACTACTGATTGGAGAACTTGGAGCAAGAGGTTAAAAGCAAAGAGTCATCTGGAACTGATTCAGGTTATACCCCAGGGATTAAAAAAAAAGAGTATGTGAAGGAACTCTTCAAGCAATAGATGGTATCAGTGTTTTCCAGCCTTGCCAGCATATGTATTTGCTTTAGAAGTTTTTTGGATTTCTTTTTTTATGTATATATACATGATCAACTGAGACTTACTAAACTCAAACAGCAAGAGTTAGAGGTTTGATTTCTCCTAAACCCTTCCTCCCAAATAATCTGAACAGATACCTAGTTGTCTAAGCAGTGATCCACAGGCTGGTTTCAGGAATCAGGCCATGTGTCAGTCCCACCCCAAGAGATGGGAGATGGGAGCACACGGTCCTGCTGAGCTGTGGCCAGACACAGGCTTGCATGTGGTGTATGCCAAGCCAGAGCAGCCAAGTATCTGATGAAGGGCCTGGTGTGGAGCCCTCAGCACAGGCCAAGTCCTTCCCCTGTTATTCCTCTCTGGCCAAGATCCATGACCAGTGGACAACTCTGAGTTCAACAGCCTTATCAGATAATTAAAGTCAGGAATAATGTGTTTATTTACTCAGTTTTTATAAGACCAAAGAGTTTATTTTGTCTTGGTCTAAGCTAAGATTACAATAAATCAAGTTGAAGAAAACATGCAATTTATTTCAAATGTCTTGCCTTTTCTCTCAGTGAAGTGCTCTGGGGTCCTGGGCTGCCCACTTTACACTTTTGTGAGTTTTTATATCACTAAGCTCACAGTGAACACAACCTTGAGGTGAAGCTAATGCCATTTCCCCAAACCTCAGTCTTACATAAGTTTTCCAATCTAGCAATTGTCAGGAAAAACGAGGAAGTGGAAACATTCATACTGAACTGAGAGCTTCCCTGGGGTCAGGTGAGCTCTGGGCTCAGTGAGTCTCAAAACTACCTGCAACAGATGACTAATAAGTATACTTTTCTTTAAAACATAGTATCCAATTTATTCTAGCCTGGCTAAAAACTGTGTATGTCAAATAACTGGGAATTTACCCAGGTCTGATGATACCTTGAGTTTTGAAGATAATGGTTAGACTATGGTGTGGTGAAAAAATAAAAATAAATGACATGATACTTCTGAGAAATTAGGTGAAAGCAGTTGTACATAAAATCCCAGGGAACCAAAACGGTTCTTTGGATTTTCTGGGCAAAGGTCCCAGTCCCCATTAAACATCTCCCTAACATGAATATCCCAGGCCCTTGCCTCCAAATCCAGCAACTGCAGGGCACATTGCTGCTAAGTCACTGCGTCCCTCATCCAGGACTGCACACATGACTGTATGGAGGACAAGAGGACAAATCCTTCGGGATGCCTCAGTCTCTGGTGGACCTCACTTGTCTCAAATAGATCACAAGGGGTCCTTCAGGCAGAGTTGCTATAAGCTGGGGACCAGTGGCTGGGGACTGCAGGCCAGCCTGAAAAACCATCTTGCACTTACACAGGACAGCCTGACCCAAGGTCCTCTCTGCCATACCATACACTGTGGGTTAGTTGTCAAGACACCTGGAGATTTCAATGGGTATTCCAAATAATCTTGTGTTCATTCCTACATGTCCATTCAATGAGTTAGGATTTCATTTCATGCTGTGGAATAATCCTCTCATACACTGTAAAGATTTGTCACTCCAATTGGCTTTTAAAAAGAGCTGATTGGCCAGTAGAAAAGCAGGCAGTATAGGTGGGGCAAACAAACTAAAGATAGGAAGGAGAAGGGCCAAGTGAGAAGTCGCCAGTCAGACGCAGAGAGAGCAGGAGATGAACATGCCATGCTAATAAAGGTACTGCCACATGGCCGAGCTTAAATAAGGTGTGCATGGCAGTTCACAGGCATGTGAAGGCTGGAGGGAATTATCATTGTCTGCCTTATTACCTTGAGACAAGGTATCTCACTGCACAGGAAGCTGGCTAGCCAGCAAATTCCTAGGATCTGCCTGTCTCTACCCCCTAATTCTGGTATAAGAGGAATGCACAGCCAAGCCAGCTTTTTAAGTGGTTGTTGGATACTCAAACTCTTACCACCAAGCCATCTCCCCAACCCAAGATTTCTTTGTTGTTATTGTTGTTGTTGTTGTTTTTCAGGTTTATTGGGGGGGATGGTTTTGTTTTTGGTTTTTTGTTTTGTTTTATTTTAGTTTTTCGAGACAGGGTTTCTCTGTGCATCCCTGGCTGATCTAGAATGCACTCTGTAGACCAGACTGGCCTCAAACTCACAAAGATCTGCCTTCCTCTGCCTCCCAAGCGTTAGGAAAGACTTCCTTTGAAAATCAATCTCTAGCCCAATGTTGAGCCTAGTAGCACACATACTTGTAATTCCAGTACTCAGAAAGGCATAGCAGAATTGCATGGTTTGAGGCTAGCCTGATCTACATAGTGAGTTTTGGCCCAGCCTTCGCTAAAGAATAAGACTATGTCTCAAGAAACAAAAAGAAAAAAAAGAATCTCTACCCTAGCCCATAAATGACTGTCAGATGTCAAATGGCTACTTTGGCTCACAGCACTCCCCAGAGGGCAAACTCCATCATATCACAGTCTCTGCCCATCAACTAAGTCAATGGGCATAAGTGAGACAGACATTACTGAAACAAAATGTTCTACTTCAAATATAGGGCATGGAAGAAGCCTCCAGGGCACTGTGACAGCAGCAGGTGGAGCAGGGGTCTGGGCAGGGGACCTTCCATACCTCAAGAAAACATGTCCCCTTGGCTTTCTCAACTCCCACACCCCTGGGTGTGCTAAACCTATCTTCCACCTCTGCTGACCTACATGTCACAAGATACTTTATATATACATATGTGTGTATACATACATATGGACGGATTGCATAATATATTCTTAAGCAGTCTTACTAAAAATACCATTGTGTGAGGGGAACGGGGAGCACAGAGAACAACTGTCAGAGAATAGACATGGCAGGCCCAGACTCAGTGTGACAAAGTGACTTCAAACCCACCAGGAGACACTCAGTTCACTCTGAGAGTTGTCATCTTGGCCACTCCCCAAACTTCCTGCCACAGCTGCCAGGCCCTGGGTGCAAGGACACCACCTCAAAAGGCACGCACCTTGTTTTCCCGGTAAAGAAACTCCAGATGTAGAACTTTCCGGAGATCGTTTCTGCTGTTGATGCTGAGTTCACAGCGGGGGCGCTCCTGGTCCATGGTCACAAACGTCTTCTTCAAACCCTGAGGGAAGAAGTCTGGGTCACTGTGGGCCATTAGAAATGAAAACCTTCCCTTCTCTGACGCACTGTAAACAGAAAACTGCTGGGACTCATTAAGATTGGGCTCATCTGCCTTCCTTACATGGCCATGGCAGGGGCCCAAAGCTGATTTCAGAATTCATTTTCATGAAACCAATGGGCTTGATGGCATTGTCAGTTTGGTGTGGGGTCAGCTAAGGCTGGGGTTAAGGACTCATTTTATAAGTAACAATGAAATCCAGGTTGCCTAAAGCCAGCTCGGGAGTTCTGTGTCTGGCCTACACTTGGGGCCATGAAAGACAAACCTTTAAAAATAAACGGAAGTTTAAAAAAAAAAAACCACAGTCAAAAGGCCAACAATTGTTCCCTTAACCTTTCAGCTGAGGAAGCCAGGAGACATGTTTGAAGTCACGTGACCCACATCAGTCTAGCCAGGAAACCCAACTGACACCCAGTCCCCTACAGAGCAACTCATGGATATTTGCCAAGTCACCAGCAAACTACCAGTCACCCCCATAAACACCCAAAGACTAAGGTCTGACGACAGTAACCTGCACCTCCGGGAGCCTGGCATCCTCATTTGAAAACAGACACAAGAGCTGCTTCCTCCCATCACAGGACACTATGACCACCCAATGCCTGCAAAAAGATGTCTCAACCCCTTCCTTCAGGGTCAGGGATATCCCTTGCTCCTGACAGATCCCAGACTCCAACTTTTCCCTCGGCCTTTGTGCTCTGAACAATATAGTAGCTCCATCTGCTGAAAAACAAAACCAAACTCACTGCTTGCCATGACTTTTGATGAAAAAGTGAATCTGGGAAAGACAAGATAGGCACACCGTGTTGAAGCAGAAAGGGTGAATGGGGGTCTTAAGGAATAGCAACAGAGAGAAACAAATGTTACTACGTGTTGGAGAAAAAATGGCGGGGTGAAGGAGGAGGCCAGCTCAGAAGCAACCCCCAGAGAAAAAGCAACAGGAAAAGTAATTACAACTGGACGGGTGATGTACAACTCATAATTCCAAATACAGGAGTCAGAGGCAGGAGAAGCAAGAGTCTGAATACAGCGTACGCTACACAGAGAGCTTGAAGACAGCCTGGGCTAGCTACATGGAGAGCTTGAAGAGAATCTGAGCAATGTAAACATGACCCTGTCTCAGAACCGCTACAACCACCAACACCAAAATCACAAGCAATTGCCCTAGCCCATAGTTCTGGCTCCCTGGGACTTTGTGAGTATCTTAGTTTGGGTTTGTATTGCTAATGATGAAACACCATGACCAAAGCAGCTTGTCGGAGGGAGGAGTGTTATTTGGCTTACACTCCCATTCACTATTCATCGCTGGTGGAAGTTGGAACAGAAACTCAAACAGGGCAAGAACATGGAGGCAGGAGTTTCCATGCAGAAGCCAGGGAAGATTGCTGCATACTGGTTTGCTCTCCATAGCTTGCTCAGCCTGCTTTCTTATAGAACCCAGGACCACCAGCCCAGATGGCCCTACCCATAATTGGTTGGGCCCTCCCCCATCAATTAATTAAGGAAATTCACTACAGGCTTGCATACAGCCTGATGTTATAGAGGCATTTTCTCAATTGAGGTTCCTTCTCTCAGATGACTTCAGCTTATATTGACATAAAACTATCCATCACAGCTAGTAAACAAAGATACACCTCTTTTATACTTTTAGACAAAACAATAGGATGAAGAGGAGGTCAGGCGGGTAGGTAGATGATTTCTGAGTGTCATCCAGTTGGGAGGTCTGCTTCTTGACCCTGTCTAGGAGGTGAGACAAGCAGTTGTGACAGCTCTAACGCAAGTACCAATGAGCAAACAGTCAAGGTGAGTCCAGGACCAATCCTCATTAATTCTGATCATGGGAGTGATCGGAAGAGCTTGGGAAGAAACAAACCCTGTTGCAGGGCAGAATAGATCAAGGGAAAGGTGAAGGAAAAGCTAGAAGCAAGAGTGGGAATGCAGGCTGGGGCCAAGTGGTGGGTCCCCGGATGTCGGTGAGGACTTTGGATTCCACTGAGGAAATTAGGGCTTCTCTGACACGTCTACACCTAGTGGCCAGACTTAACATCTGTGTCAGCCTCTGAGCACGCCACTGGTAATCCAACTCTAACTCAAGACTCGGTGATACAAAGTCAAAGAAGACACAATGAAGCCAGAAGCATCACAACTTTTCAAAATGAACATAAATCATTTTTTAAAAAGCATGCATTTCAAAACAGATTCAATCAGAGCTGGGGAAGCAAGTATAACATTGAATACCTATGTGCATATTGTATATGAGTATCGGACCTAATGCTTAGGTGCTGGTCGTATATCACTAACCCTCACTATACATACACATGGGTGGAATTTCAAAATTCCTATTTGTAGAGATGAAGTAACAATGTCAGACTTACATCTGACTTCAAATCCTTCCACTTTGTTCCATCCAAACATGGGTGTGTGTGTGTGTGTGTGTGTGTGTGTGTGTGTGTGTGTGTGTAGACCGAGTTTAGTGACTTTTGGACCAGCTGAATATGGCATCACATGATCCCTTAGCGTATAGTCCTCAGCCACTTGGTGTAAAAATACAAACTGACTCCTGGCATCCATGACGCACCCTCCTTCTCCGAGACCCCACGGGGTGCCCAAGATACTCCTAACTTACAACTCTTTGAAAACTCTTCTAGGACGAAACAATGAGAGATTTGCATAATTCTTCTACAAAAGTTCATGCAGCAGCTGGAATTTCCACTTTTTATTAAAACGACCAAAAGGCCTGACTGCCCAGAACTTTCCTTTGGAGAAGTTCTTTCCTGAGGACACGTCCTGTGCCCCAGGCTGGGAGAACTTGCTCTGCCCTGCCCTGCCAACCTGGCACTGCGGTGACAATGGGTACCAGCGGAGGGCAGCAGACCAAAAGCCGGCCTGCCTTTATGGAGGTGTCCTCTAACTAAGAAGGACTGGCTTCTGGGAAATGTAGTTTCCCTGTCCCGGGAAAGGGGCTCTCTTAGGGGAGTCTGAGGCGAACAGAAGGGGTGGAACGCTCCCCTACCCACGAAGGTGCAAAGATACCGAGGGAAACCCAGGCTGCCCCCTTCCCAACACTAGAGCGGCCTCCTGGGCTTCGGAGTGTCCAGCCATTACCTTTCTGCTGAGAAACTCCCTGACCAGGGAGGCGGCCACCTCCTCCACGTACAGGCTGTCCATGCTGCTGGTGCTGCCCCCAGGCCACGCGGCGGCCTGCAGCCCCAGGACGCGCGGAATCCGTTGGGCCCAGTAAAGCGGCGTTGCCGTGGCGACGGTGGCCTCCGCGCCAGGAAGAACTCCTCCCCTTCCTGGGGAACCAGCGTTCCAGGGGCGCGGGAGGGAAGAAGGGAGGAGCATCCTTCGAGCGGTGAAGCAGTTGGGGGCGGAGCATAGCCTGAGCTCTGGGAACCGGACCGACTCTGGCCTCCTGTGGTGGGTGTCACTGCTCCAATCAAAGGTTCCATTTCTCCACACATGTAATGGGAAGCACACCTACCTCGTGGTTCTTAAAGGTCTGCACCGGCGGGAAATTGTCCCCAACGATCCACCCTCAGGACTACAGTTGCCTCCTGGGCTCACTGACACAGACCTTAGTGGCCGGTCCTCTGTAGAGCAAGGAGGCCAAGACTCCAATCCCTAGCATCTAGAAGCCGGAAGGGATGAAAATGGGCAAAGCCCAGGTTTTTGACAGTCACTTGGGTACCACACCAACGTTCTTCACCTCTCTGTACTACCCCCGTTGTGCTGGTTTGATGGGGATGCCTTAATAAAATGCCACAGTTTGTGGCTTCAACAACAAGATTACTATCCTGTAGTCTTGTAGCCTCCAAGATCACAATGAAGGTGTCACTGGGGCTTTTATTCCTTGAGGCCCTTCTCATTGCCTCCCTCTTCTTTCTATGTCTTTACAGAGCCTCCCTCTCAATGTGTCTGTGTGCTATTCAACACTGGTCACAAAGAGTTGAGTGTCCACCGTAATGACCTCATTTTTATCGTACCTTACCTTCAGATAGGTCACATTCTGGATACAAGGCTTTAAGACTTCAAACTGTGAATGGTCTCAACTCAGCACATATCACCTATGCTATATATTATTTTCTTTAAACCAACATGTTTCTTATATTTTCCTAAAAGAGTACCCAGGCAGTAAGACCCACAAAAATTGTAGGCTTATATGATTATTAAATTCTAATAAACATTAAAACATTTATAAAATCAAAAAGGTATGTTTTTAATCCAAGATTGTCTCACAGCCAGTGTGGCACATGCACTGTGGTTGGGAGGCATCATGCTTCATTCCTATCAGTGTCCTGATGACATCACTGAATCAGGACAGTTTGAATTACAGTTTTCGGGCATCCGAACCTCCTAAGCTACCGCTGCACCTCCTAAGCCACCGGAGTTCTCTGCAAGGGCAATCTTGAGTTTTCAGAGCTGTAGGAACTTGAATGTGCACAGAATGAAGACGGCAGTCATTAGCCTTACCGGGGTACCTGCTCTTTCATATGCAAAGGCACACTAATAAATGTGTTATAATTTAAGAACACAGGGCAGACTTACATATACAGGTAAGAGCTGGCATATCAAAAATGGTAATTGCTTGTCTTAGTTTTTTAAGATTTTTTTATTATGTATACAACATTCTGCTTCCATGTGTATCTGCACACCAGAAGAGGGCACCAGATCTCATAACGGATGGTTGTGAGCCACCAGGTGGTTGCTGGGAATTAAACTCAGGACCTCTGAAAGAGCAGTCTCTTAACCACTGAGCCATCTCTCCAGCCCAGCTTGTCTTAGTTTTGTTTCCTGTTGCTGTGACAGAATACTGTGATCCACAGTTCCAGGTTACAGCTCACAAAAGTCACAGCAGCAGGACCTGGAGGGAGTTGGCCATATCACATCCATAAACAAGAATAGAGTGTAATGAATATAATTCATACTCAGCTAATCTCTGACAG